CGCGCAAGCGACAGCGGGCAAGTTTCACACAACAGCGAGCAGGCTCGCGAGAAAGCGGGTTGGCGGGTTGACCCGGCAACCCGTCGAGTCAACCTGAACCCGACCCGTTTTTCAAACGGGTCGATTTTTGGAACCCGAATCCGACCCGTTTTGAAACCGGGTCGGGTCCAACCCGGATTTTTCGGGTCGGGTCCGGGTCGGGTTTTCGTGTCGTGTCAAATATTGACACCCCTAATTCTAATTAATTTTGAATGGTTTGTGTTCTTTCTTAAAATCATAGATTTTTCTTATTTAAGTATAATGCAAGCCCTTGTACTTATGAGCTTGCCACATTATTGCTGGTGGACCCCTATGATAAAACAAATGATGAATAATAAGATACACATATAAAGTCATATCTATGATAACATTCTTCTAAGATTTGTCTGCAAAATAAAATACAATGTCAATCACAACATGCAACACACATGCTTGATTGATATGTTTGGTGGGGCAAAAATTATTTTAATTAATTAAAATAATTATGGTTTAGCCTATTCTAAATCAGAAATTAGTTAGGCTCATAATCAATAAAATATTTATGAAAAAAAAAAATTATGTTTGGGTGTCTTGACATAAATCACATTAGAGTACTTTTGGATTATGTATATTTTATTTTAATATTAATATAACATATAATATCAAAGTAGTACAATAATCTCAGCAACAAATAGATGATACCAAAGCCTATTGAGTGTTAGAATATGGAAAGTTGTAGAGCGAGAGAGTTTGACATATTAACATTATGCGAAGATCAGGCTCACATAAAGATAAAAGAGAAGTTGTTAGAGGCACGAGAGTTTTTATATGAAAAGCTCCAAAAAAGAAAAAAAAAATATAGTGCTTAGTCTAGTTGAAATGATTTCACAATGTTTAACACCAATTACAACTGATTTTTTTTCTCATGATTGGGAAATGTATGATAAAATATAATAGATATATAATATATAGAATGAATTTTGTGATAAAATTTTGAAGAGTTATATGTCATAAGAGTTATCTTTGAAAGATTATTTACTATTTATTGGATTATTCTACTATGATGAGAGGAGATCATAAACTAAGAATTTTAGTAAAAATCTTGCTACTAATGTTGTTAGTTGGAGTTGGTATTGATGGCATGCATTGACTTTATAAATGATGTTGTGCATGCTAGTAATGAAATTAGTGAACGTCAGTATGGTCTGTTGGCATTGGTCGGAGGGGTTATTTTTGAGTGATGACATTCAAAGGACTAACATTGAGCGATGATGATTGAAATATTGTAGTCAGACAATGGTGCTTACTGGGCCATTATCAGGAGATGATAGTTGGAGGAGCATAGTTAATCAATGGTGGACAAATGATTATACTTTAGTTGAGAGATAGTCAAGAGATAATAATTGGGCAATGGTGGTTGAGAGACTATTTGAGCAAAACTAACTACGAGAATATAGTCAGGTGATTGTAGTTGGATTTTCGGAATTGGGCAACTCTAGTTGAATGAAATAAGTAATTTAATGGTGGAAAAAAAATCATAGTTGTGTGAAGATGCTGGAAGATCTAGCAATGGACATTAAAGAATCAGATGTTGATGGTTAAGAGGTTATAGTTGGGCTATGGTGGTCGAGACATCATAGTTGGATGATGATAGTCAAGAAACAATAGTCGAAAATAGTGTCAAGAGGCCATGACTGAGTGATGGTAATCAAATGACTATAATTTAGCAATAATGATTGGATGGCCATAATTAAGTGATGGTGGTTAGAGGACTCGGCAATGGTGGTAAAAGGATTGGGTGATAGTTGTTGGGAGACTGCATGTGGGTGATTGTAATGCCTCAAAATCTATATTTAAATGAATTATCTATTTCATCTCTTAATTAATTTACTAGAGCCTCTAATAATTCATTAATACAAATAAGTCCAGTATAAGCAAGTATAAATTATTTGCATTAAAATATTTCTATATTTATTCATCAAATTTTAATTTATAATAGTCAGGAGATTAATCACTAAAACCATCAGTCTATCTCTCTATGCTCCTCACTACAAAAGAATAAAAATCAAAAATGCAGGAAATAAAATAAAATCTAAAAATCTTGATCTGTCTCGTGGATCCTAGCCCCTTCTTAAAAATATGCGAAAACTATGAAGTGAGCTAACAAATTAGTATGTTACAGAACCTACAGCTATAATCAATGAAAGGTAGTAAAAATAATATATATGCAATTATTCAATGAGTATCAATATAAATATGTAATAGTGAGAACAAGCGAAAATCAATATGAATAATGTCATTTCATAGGAGCAATAGAAATTAATCTATATATTAGTAAATAATTTAATTTTTTTAGAAATTAAAATAACTAGAAATAATAATCTTTCTAGAAATTCTTTGAGAAAAAACAATGTGTTTGTATTATCTGAATCTTCTTTAGAGAGTGGGACTGCAATTGCCATTTTGACTGTAACGCGTGGGTCAAAGAGTTCTCTCTTTCCCCCTTTCTCCTCCATCTTAGTTGCCCAATTTTTTCATGGGAGCCAGAAAAACCGCACTTTCTCAATAAAATTTAATTGTATATATTATAATATATATATATTTAGGTCAAATCAAGAATAAATTCACAGGCTACGAACTTAAGACTTCTTAGTTAAAAATTAAGGTTTTATGTTTGAGACTACTTTCTTACTGCTCTTATAAAACAGTCTTTTAGTAACAAAAATTTATTTTATAACTAAAAAAACTATTTTATGAGCATAAAAAAGTCTTCTCAAACGAAACTAAAGCTCCTAAAATACTAAAAAATTGAGTCTTATTTAAAAATAAAAGTTTTTAATTAAAAAAATTAAAAATATGTTTGTGATAGCTTTTTTGATATTTTATTTTATTGACAAATAATCATTATTTTGTTTTGGCTATTACTACTAATAATGAAGTTGCTTTCTCTATAATTAATTTCATAATAAATTTTAATAAAATATTGCATTTTTTATTAGTTTTTTTTGGAATGGGGGTATTTACCCCTGTCACACTCAATAGAGGTGTTGGTCGCACAATATCTAATCTCTCAACGATCCCAAGCATCAATTGTGCAGGACCCGCAGTTATTTTCCAATCACTTAAGTGGAAGCACACCACACATTGAGAAGGTGCCGAACAAACATGAAGTTAAAGGTTCCCAATCAGTGTTAGCACCACCCAACCCAACTAAATTTGGTGTGGTAATATATATCAAGTAGTCCCAAAAAAATATATAATATTCAAGTATTATAAGAAATGTAGATGCCATATAATATAATATAGATAAATTAATTAAAAAAAAAAGAGATTAAAAAACTATAATTTTATTATAATTTCATAATAAAACTTTATAAATTATTGCAGTAGTTTTTTTTTTTTTTTTTTTGGGAACCAGGGAGTATTTACCCACGTCCACTTCATTAAAGGCGCTTGGGCGGGCATTAAGTCAAATCCCTCCACTCGCGAGTCTACTAGCAACAAAAAATATTAATTAAAAAATTTAAAAATCATGTTTTGATAGCTTTATGCTATATTATTTTATTGATCAGAATAATCATAATTTTGTTTAGCTATTAACTATAATAATTTCATATTGCTTTCTCTATAGTAATTTCATATTAAACTTTATAAAATAATTGTAGACAAGTTTTTTTTTTTTTTTTTGAACGGGCTTATTTGTCTGCTACCACCCCATTAGAGGTGTTTGGCGGCGTAGCTAATCTATCGGCGAGCCTACTAGCAACTAGCCCCACAGGTGCAAGACCATAGTTATTTTCGATCCACTAAAAGAGTCGCACCACATGAGAGAGTAATCGAACATGAGTTTAAGGCTTCCCTACCATGCTAGACCACTAACCCAGCTAAATTCAGTGGGATAATATTGCAGTAGTCCCAAATATATATTTAATATCAAGTATTAAGAAATGAGATGCCATATAACTAATTTATTGAGAGTAAAAACTTAAATTTTTTCAAAAACAAAAGAGAATAAAAATTATTAATTTTATAATATTTTTCAAATTTAAAATAATAATATTATAAATTGAAGAATTTGACAGCTATTTTAGTTAATGTATGAAATTTTAATATTTCACTTAATTTACTGTAAATTTAAGTAAATATTATGCCTGTAATTTTTTTTAAGAAGTGCAGAAATTTCATATTTATGAACCTCTTCACCCACCATCTCCCTCAATACTCCTCAACTCATTCTCTCTCCTCGCCTCTGTTTCTCTCTCTACAACAGAACTTCTGAAGAAGTCGCCATGGCTAAAGCAGTCGCCTTCTTCATCTTTATGACCCTCCTCCTCTGTATCTCCTCAACACATGCAGCCAGTCGTCACCCCGCCGCAGATGAGCCTAGCTCTGCTCAGGTGATTGATTTTGGGGAAAAAATCTCTTTTTTTATCTGATATTCTTCTGATTTGAGTTCTTCTTTCTCTGGTTCTGAAAAGGTCTGATTTCTATTAGGGTTTCGATGAAGAGCAGGCGGATTTGAGCTGTGATGGAGTTGGGGAAGAAGAATGTTTGATGAGGAGAACTCTGGTGGCTCACATTGATTACATTTACACACAGGGGAAGATTCATGACTGATCTTTGGCTATGGATTAGGGCTTCTAGGGTTTGGAATTTCTATGCTGGTTTTCTGAATGTAATCATCCATGTTTATATCTGAATAATGATGATAATGGCTTTGGGGATTTCACCATCTGTGTCGATTTGTGTATGGTTTGATTTGGCTGAGTTTGATTGTTTGTTTTTTGTTCCAGATTTTGATGATTTCGGGTAAATTTGGTGAAGAAAGAGGGAAATTTTAGTATCCCTGTCTGATGAGGTTGGTTTATCTGTTTTGTATTGTGATTTTGAGGTTTACTTTCGTTAAAATGCTTCATTGATGGCACTGATGAAGCATGCAATGGTGATCCATTGAGTTCATGGCTGATTCTAAGGCTGTTCATTATGAGGATTTAGGGCATCTCCAACCAAAAATCTCATTTTTCACTCCAAAATGCACTGTAATAAAAAAATGACGTGATTCTTTCTCCAATCGAACTCCATTTTGCGCCTAGGTAAACGTCTTTCTCCTTTGTGTGTTTCTTCAGCAAATTCGGCAGAGACAGAAAAATAACACAGGTGAACAGTGCAACGCCAATATTGGCATCACACTGTTCACTCGCAACCAAATACCATAAGTTTTTCCGTTCGGCTGGAGCTCGCGAGCGACATCATTCATGTATTTGGAGTTCCGTTGGAGATGCCCTTAGGCTTTGTTTTGGACAGTTTTTTTTCTTGCTTTTCACAACAACAATTTCTGTTAGACCGCTACTTCTTTGTTGTTTTCCAAAAAAGAAAAATTGTAGTAGAAAGTTATTTTCTACAACAACTTCAAAAATTACTTTATTTGTAGTAACTTTACAAAACACTAAAAAAAGTCCTAAAACAAAGCCTTAGCAGACCATCTTACTATTTTTCTTAAAGAAATTTATGTTGTTGATCAAGTTCCTAAACTTAGATCAGCAAATAATATCAGTAATGAATAATTCACCAAATCATACTCATTCACTCTATTGTGTAGCCACACTTTACTATTATTTGGAGAGATGAATGTTGTAAGTGTTGTTAGTCTTGATGCTTAGGGCATCTTCAATCAAGCGTCATTCCGGTATTTGCAGTTTGCGCAATCGGAAAGTTTTTTTCGTATTTTGAACGGTGCGAATTCACACCAATATATTTTGTTTATGAAAGAAGATAAATAACTTTTTTTTTGTCCCTTATTGTATTTTGGAGTGAAAAATAACTTTTTTGTTGGAGATGTCCTTGAAGAATAAATAAGTCATTTAATATGATGGGACCTTATCTTTGAAATCTTTGATTGGAATGCTCTCAATTGGACTTGGTAGTACAAGTTTGATCATTGAATCTTTTGAGCTAATGCAAGGCATCTCCCTTTTTTGTGCCCCTTTAATCACATGCAAGCTTCTTGCATGTAACATTTTATTTATTAATTTATGTTATTGATGAAGGCTTTAAATTCTCTTGGAAAGGTCATCTATAGTGCAATAATAGATTTCAACTACTATGGACATTATTTCTATCAAATGCTCCATCTATGAGTCAAGTCAAGGAAAGCTAAGGGTTTTCAAATCATTTCAAGATGTTGAATTTGAAGTTATACTAGTTATTTTAATGAAGGGTGTACATACAAGCGTTTGGAAGCCCCGGTTCAAGTTATATTGATCAGATTGAAATGAAATCAAGTCAATTTAAGCTAAATTAAATTGATCTCAATTATGTCCTTCTCGCTCATTGAGAAGGGGAGATGTACTCTTCATTTCTAATAGGACTAGCATCGGGTGTCAAGGTGATTGTCAAAATGTAGTTGGAGGATCCTCTAAAGTGCTTTCACTTAGAGTGATTCTTCATAATCCTCCAGCTACATCTTGAATCATCTTGGTGACTTTTTCTTCCATCTCTATGGATTTGCTATGGGAAGTGTAGTTGGAGGTATTTATGTTCACGGATGTATCTGGATCGAAGGATGTTGGCAGTATTTTATGACTTGGATATCAATGAATGGCCTCAAGAGACCAATTTTCGTCGAAGCAAATGATTCATGTGGACTTGGATGAATTCGTACAATTTCACTAATGTGCATAGTTAGGAGTAATATTCCCTGCTACGGAGTGCCTTTAGCGGGCGATATGACTTCTCTGGTCGAGTTCTCTAGCTAGAAACTATTAGGTACGTGTGAAATACCCACATGAATATGAGTCTACAAATTTCTTTATATTATTAAAAGATTATTTTGTTAAAAATTTGTGATCCTTAAATAAAAATAAATGCAACTTAACAACTACTCCAAATTGATATGTTTGCCCTCTAAGTCTAAGTAATTTAATGACCCATTAGGAAAAAAAAATTACAATCTTAGTTATGCTTTGCATTGATGAGCCAAAAAATATCTCAACCTCCCAATCCTATTTAGAAGGGTAACAGGATATGAATTTACTTCACAAAAAAATATTCACAAAGACCTGGTCCATGTAAGATATAGCAAATTATTATTATTATTTTTAAATAAAATATTAATTTTTTAGGCTTATGCCCTTCAATCATGGATGACAAGGATCAAAGGTAGTTAAAAAAAATTAATTGGACCATCAGTTGGGTTTAATTGCTTAGAAAGTTGGTTATGAGAAACATAAATACATATATTTATTATTTGTGTTTGTTTATTTTCATATATTTTACATAATTAGACTTGATATACATATTTTAGGTTAGAGGTGTAAGTGAATCAGACCAACTCGTGAGTTAGCTCGAGCTCGACTCTATAAATGACTCGTGAGCCGAATTTGATCAACTAATAAGTAAAGTTTAAATCAGCTTTGAGTCGACTCATTAGTTGGAGAGACTACTCGTTTAAAAAATATTATCATAAAATATACTTAAAATATATTAGAATTCAGATGTTCAAATATAAAGTTATTATAAAAATTTAAATTTATATCTTATTTTCTCATATTGTGTGATTTTTTTATTAATATTATTCAGCTTCCATTTTGTCCTTTTTTTTTAAATAATTTTACTGTAATAATTACATGCATGAATCATAATCATTGTCTTCATATTTTTGTATGATAAATAAAATAAAAATAGCTCTAAAATTATTATTTTTTTAATAGGAGCAAGCTCAATTCACCATAAAAAATGTTACGTTTTTGCAACAGCTCACAGCGGCATTTCATGGAACCACTGCAAAAATCATTCCAGTGAACACAAACACAACGGATTTGTAACGGATCCTAAACCGCTGCAAAGAATTTAGCAGATATTTTAACTATTGCAGTAGGTCAAAAAAAATATTGCAAAAGCCTAATTTATTAATAGTGATTTTATATGAGATAAAAAGAGCCTAAAAACAAAATTTGTTCTAATTAATTATTTCTTACATAAAAATCTGTTTTGGTGGGCTGACATCAACGGCTTTATTTTTTTGAATGGCAGATAACAATAGAGGATTTTTTTTATTTTTTTATTTTTTTTTTTATTTTTGGAGGAGATCGAAGCTTCTAAAAGAAAAATTTCCACTATATTATTAACAATTTTGTCTGAAGGAATAAAATCTCTGTTGGAGTATTTTAATACAAGCAAATCTCTGTTTGGATAATTAACTAATTTACTTAAGCATTAAAAATTAATTATTTAAGGAAAGATTGCGTGTAACAAAAGAAAAAATATAATAATCAGCTTTTCTAGAACTTGCTATTATATGAATTTTATAGGGTAATTAGGAAGAAAATGTGTTTATATTAAAATAATTAAGGAAAAAATTTTGGTCAGATATCTGACCAATTTCTAATTAAGAAATATTTAAAATTTATTTTATTTATTTTGATAAATAGATTAAATTTAAATAAATTATTCATATATTATAGATTTAATGGTTTTGGGTTTAATCATAATTTTTTTAATTAAAATATTTGATACAATTTTTCTCTATTATTAATAATTCTTTAACTAATTTTTATTTTTTTTTTCATAAAATTTCATCAGCTTTCTAGAACCTTGCTAGCTATATGAATATTTAAAGCTTAATTAGGAAGAGAGGTGCTTATATTAAATTGTAATTAGGGAAAAATTTGGTCAGATATCTGACCAATTTTATAAATTATTATCTTTATTTGTGATAAAAGAATATAAATTTTAATGGGATTGCAATAGGAGGATGTGCTATATTAATATGTAATTAGGGAAAATTTGGGTCAGATGTCTGACACATTTTTTTATTAAGAAATGTATAAAGTTTATTATATTTTGAGTTAGTTATAATATATATTTTTAATTTAATTATCATATATTTATATTCTTCTTAGAATAAATTAAATAATTTTGTGTTTAATTATGATTTTTATTTTTGTTAAAATATTTGATAATTTTTTTTCTAAAAATTAATACTTCATTATTTTTTCAGTATTTAAGAATAATATTAAGTAATCAAGCTTGTATGTGTAATCTTGAATTTTGCTCACTAAGCTTTGAAAAAACTGATTTTCTTCATTAAAAATACTATTTTTTCTTAAATTAAAATAACTTCTTTAACTAATTTAGTATTTAAAAATAATAGTAATTAATTAAACATATATTGTAATTTTAATATTTCTTAATTAAAGCCTAAAACTATAATTTTCTTATATTAACAAAATAATATTAATTTTACTTAAATATTTGGTAAAATTTTTTTTCTATATAATACTTCTTAACTAATTTAGTATTGAAAAAATAATATTGATTAATTAAACTTTCTGTGTAATTTTGATATTTATTAAGGTTGAAAAACCCTCTTTTTTTCTTCAATTAAAAAAATATATTTTTTGTTAAATAATTTTGTTTAATAATTTTGTTTCTATAATTAATATTCTTAATATAATTTCAGCATTTAAAAATAATATTAATTAATTAACTTATATTTTTATAAATATTTTGTTAAAAAAAGCTATTTTTTTTTTCATAAATTAATGATAAGCTTGGCATGATGAATTGCACACGTGGACTGAGATACAACACACAATTTATAAAAAAATATTAAAAAATATATCTTTCTCTATTTTTTATACATCAAAATATTTTTTTAGGCCGTTGATTAGAAAACATTATATTTTTTTAATATGAGATAATATTTATATTATCCAAAAATAAATTA